GTACAAGCAGCACCCTAGGAAGTGGTGGAGCCTCCACTAACCTCAAATTTGCTTCACCCCAGACTTCCTTCACCCCAGACTTCCACCTCTAACAGCTGGTTTGGGCCCTGCCTACACATGATACCTTAGCACATAGCAGGTACTCAGTAAAAATAGATAACTTTACATATACCCAGCACTGTCTCCATTTTTTACACATGAGGAAACAGACTCATGTAAGTTCAGTAACTTTGGCCCAAGAGCATGCAGCTGGTGACAGAATTGGGGTTCAAACTGCAGACTGGCCTTATTTAAGAATCATATTTCTACCAACTGTGCCATACTGCCTCTTAAGGTTCTCTTCACTATATATTGCCTTTAGGTTCCGCATGGAACCTAAAGTTAAGTTTTGCTTGTTAAAAGGGAATGGTGACATTAAAATGCTTCTGGATTTTTCTGTTCATCATATAAAATCCCTCATTACGCTGCTCTATTTGTAACTTTCTGGACTTGAGATTTTTCTCAATTCATCTTGTAGCACTTACATAGGAATCCTGTCCCATCTTTAACATGTCTCTGAGACCCACACAGGGAGCTGAATTAAAATTCCGTCAACAGGATTATCCTGGGGAAATACATCAGCAGGTATTTCAGGAATGAAGCCTGGTCCGGGGCTATTCCTGCAATCCCCACTCAGAACCAGTGGTGCTGCTGGGTGGCTTGCAGGACCTACTTACAGTTTATGAACCTGCCCACCTGGGCCTGAGAAGAAGAGATTAAGAGCTGCAGGCCTTCCGCCCTGTGTGAAGGGGGCTGTTAAATTCTGAGGGGTTCTCTAGGCTCCCTGGAGAGAGACTGAGCAGTTGGAAGAGACAAAGGCTGGAGGGGAGGGGATAACCTTTGTTCCAAGGATGAGTTGGGGGAAGAAAACATTCCCTTCTCTCTACCCTAGTGGGGTGGGGGTGGGGTGAGCCCATTTATCCTAGATACCTGACCTATCTCTCATCCTACTGAGAAAAAAAATTAAAGCTATCAGGTTTTAGGGTTTAAAGGCACTATCTATTACCCCCCTCCCCAACCAACAAGGGAAAGAAAGGGGGATTGGGCAGAGGAACAGTGCTGTCCTACCTTCTAGATTTTCATATAGGTTGTATTCCCAACCTATCTCCACATTCGAGAGATAATGAATTGTTAGGAGCTAATGAGTTTATAACAAGAGGAGATTACTGCTCCTCTAGTTTTTGTAGTCGAGTCTTTATATTTTGTGACTCTTGTTCCATGAATGTGGTGAAGTAAGTTTGTATTGGAAAGGTAAAGGCTATATAAGGATGTTTTCCTTGACATCTAAAGACAGATTTTCCTCTTGGTGAAAACACTCACGGAGTCATGTGACTGGGTAATTATGGTTTTTTTCATACACATAATGGGAATTTTAGCCAGCTCTGACTCATAGGGTTATGAAAGTAAATGAGAAATGGTTAGAGCACTTGAAAGCAAAACAGCACAGTACACATAGAAAGTTGATTGTTTTAGAGTACAGCATTTTGTTTGGTAGAAACTGAGCAGTGGGCCAAAAGAGGAACCCTAATGACTGAGCTGTTTCTCTGCTTACAGCTATCTCTGAAGGGCACAGATCAGAAAGCAGCATGCCTCCTAATAAAGAGGCCAGCAATCTTAACACCTCCCCCGCGGGGCTCATCTGCCTCCCTCCGATCTCCGAGGAGCTCCAGCTTGTGTGGACCCAAGCAGCCCAGACCAGTGAGCTGGACGGCAATGAACACCTGCTACAAACCTTCAGCTACTTTCCCTATCCCAGCCTAGCAGACATTGCCCTTCTCTGTCTACGCTATGGGCTGCAGATAGAAAAAGTCAAGACCTGGTTCATGGCCCAGCGCCTCCGCTGTGGCATCAGCTGGTCATCCGAAGAAATAGAAGAGACTCGAGCTCGAGTGGTATATCACAGGGACCAACTCCATTTCAAATCTCTCCTCTCTTTTACTCATCATGCAGGGCGGCCCCCAGAGGAGGTGCCTCCTTCTCCAATGCCACCTCCAGAACAAGTTAGTCTTGGAATAGTGCCCCTGACTCTCAGTGAGCCCGCCCAGATGAAAGGATTGAAGGTAGAGCCTGAGGATCCCTCAGAGCCAATGAGTCACCAGAAAGCAAAGGAGCCTCTGATGGCACCTGGCAGTGGGGCATTCTCCCACCAATCAGGATTTTGGCAGGATATTCAAAGCAGTGATCTCTCTAAGGAGCAGGCAGGCAGGGGTCCTGACCAATCACATGGCCTAGGCACTGCTTCCTGGAACCACTCGACGGCTGTCCACCAGCCACAAGCCCGGGATAAAGCCCCACCAATCTCATTACTTGCCAGTAGTTATAAGCAGGGGTCAGCATGTAATGTGACTCCTTCTTCCTCTACCTCTTCCTCTTTCCAGGTACTGGCTAATGGAATTACAGTCACCTCTAAACCCTCCCAGCCACTGGGCTGTCTCCCACAGCCACTGTCACCCAATGAGCAGGCTCTACCCATCCATGTGGAGCCAGCCTGGCCCCAGAGGCTAAGGCCTAACTCAGTGCTAGGCAGCATTGGCCCTGCAGAGTACCTTTCCCCTGATACCCAACGCCAGCGAAAGACCAAGCGCAAAACCAAAGAGCAGTTGGCTATCCTCAAATCGTTTTTTTTACAGTGTCAATGGGCACGGCGTGAGGATTACCATAAATTAGAACAGATTACTGGTTTACCTCGGTCTGAGATTATTCAGTGGTTTGGTGACACACGCTATGCCTTGAAGCATGGGCAACTAAAATGGTTTCGGGACAATGCAGTACCTGGTGCCCCTAGTTTCCAGGATCCAGCAATTCCCACACCATCGCCTTCAACCCGCTCTTTGAATGAATGGGCTGAGACACCACCTCTGCCAGTGCCCCCACCTCCACCGGATATACAGCCCTTGGAGAGGTACTGGGCAGCCCACCAACAGCTACGGGAAAGCGATGTCCCTCAACTGAGTGAGGCGTCAAGGCTTAGCATCCAACAGGTACTAGATTGGTTTGATTCTCGTTTACCTAAGCCAGCTGAGGTGGTGGTTTGTCTAGATGAAGAGGAGGAAGAGGAGGAGGAAGAACTGCCTGAAGATGATGAAGAAGAGGAGGAGGAGGAGGAGGACGATGACAGCGATGAAGACGATGTGATCATACAGGACTGAATGGGGGCTATGGGAGGGGCAGTCTTACTAAAAGACGAACCAACTTAGTAACTGTTTAAACAAAGAAACCACATTTTAAAAATTACCTTGTGGCAAAGAACTGAAAAGCTTTGTGTTTTTTAAGTTGGGGGAAAGGTGGATATTTTGAGGGTGGACCAGGGAGGATGAGCATAAGGCACAAAGTGAGGTGGGGACTGAATGAGCAGAAATTCAGGCCTTAGCTTCAATGAAGAGTGCTAAGGATCTGGTCCTTTACCTATGGGCTGGGCCAAGGCTCTTGTTCTCATCTGCTTTTCTTTTCCCTTAGTATACCACAGGGGAGCTACGCCTTAGTCCCACGTCTATAGGAGGATTGGAAAGGCGGAGTAAAGAATTTTGATTCCAGTGCATCCCTAGTTCAGGCTTAGGGAATGTCTGGTCCTGCCAAGGCATTAGGGGTGAGTTAATTAAATGACCCAAATAGCAGGCTAATTTTTAAGTTTATAATTTTGTATGGCCCAAGAATGATGCTATAAATATCCTAATGGCCCTTGGCAGAAAAAAGGTTCCCCACCCCTGGCCTAGTCCTACCATTTTTCCTGGAATATAAAGCTGCCTTGCACCTCTCCTTTTCTCTGAGCACAAGTCCACCCTTAATGCAGCTAAGAATCTCAGTATGTCCTAGTCTCACAGATATTTAAACTCTTCCTCATACCAACTCCATGTTTTACCTCTTCATCGCTGAGTCGCAGAGGAAGCAGAATGTTTTTTCTGATACGGGGACCACTTTGCCTTGTACCTTTTTATCTCTTTCCAAAATCCCCATTCTCTTCACTATGTCTCAGGGTAAATCTTCCCCATGGAGCTTGTGAAAAAGTTTAATAACTGGGTGGAGAATAATTTAGACTGGATATTTATTGGAGGTGGGAATTAGGAGAGATGTCTTTTTTTTAAAAGTAGAATTAGGTTACGGAAAGGTATAGGAGAGGGGATGGTTTCTGCTGTTCGGAGGACGGCAGGTAGGCTCCAGGTTTGGTTTTACAAGCCTGACACCCTCCTGCTTAACTTGGCAGAGACTGATTTTTCATCTTCCTGGTGTTGGTTCAATTTTGTATCCAGAAAAGAGACTTTTCCCTCTCTTTATAGGATCTGTCTTGAGGGCAGAGGGATCATGGTCTTTAACTGAATTTATTGATGTTTAAGAATGGTTTTCATCAGTTGGGGGTCAGGTATAATGATATCAATGAGTTAACCATCTAGAAATAAGAGTGGTAGCCCCAGACTGCTAGAATAATAAAAAGGCCAAAAATAAAATTGTTTCTCTCTCCTCCACTTTGCCACTTCTATGCTTTAGAGATTAATGTAACCAAATACATTAACATTCTGAATTAATATAAATTTTATTTATTCTTGAAGCAGCAAGATATATTGAGGTAAATTAAAAGAACAATAACTTTGCCCTGGCTGGGTAGATCATTTGGTTAGAGCGTTGTCCTGATACACCAAGGTTACGTGTTCAATTCCCCTAGTCAGGGCACATACAAGTATCAGCCAATGCATGCATAAGTGAAACAACAAATTAATGTATCTTTCTCTCCCTCAAATCAATAAATAATATTAATAAAAAAGAACTTTGAGCCCTGACTGGTTTGGCTCAGTGGATAGAACGTTGGCCTGCGGACTGAGGGGTCCCGGGTTCGATTCCGGTCAGGGGCATGTGACTTGGTTGCGGGCACATCCCCAGTGGGAGGTGTGCGGGAGGCAGCTGATCGATGTTTCTCTCTCATCGATGTTTCTGGCTCTCTGTCCCTCTCCCTTCCTCTCTGTAAAAAATCAATAAAATATATTTAAAAAAAAAAAAAAAGAACTTTGAAAGGCAGTAGATCAGTATTACTAGGCAGATTGTTTCCTACACCTGCTACAGCACAGGCTCTTGCTCAGAAGATGAGGTGTGTCTGGAAATGCCTTTAAAAATAAATCCAGAGTTCCAGAAAGGGTAATGGCATCTTAGTTTATCTACAAGGTCATTCCCAAGACCTATTTATTTCTGGCAGATGCTTGCTATTTTACCTCACCCCCAATATTTTTGCTTAAGGCCTGCCTGCCTGTGGCCTACCCATTTAATTCTACCCCTTAGTACCCAAAGAACAATAAATAATTGATCTCAGTGGTAGTGTTCTTTGCCCATTCCACCATTCTAGAGCTTGCAATACTAATAGAATTGCAATAGCAATGAAAGGACGTCTTTATTATCTATGTACTTTAGTAAGCTGAACATCTTGTCTCCAACTATTATCAGACAGAAAGGAAAATAAACATTTAATAATAACTAGGCATAGAGGAAACAATAGGCAAACTGAAAAAAAAAGTTTAATCAATTAGGGCAGGGAACAGAATTGTTACTTGTTAACATTGGCAATGGGAGAATATATCCAAAACTAGAAAATGAAATCCAGAAGTAAAACCTAGTTAATAAGTATATTATCCCCACCCCTAAGGATGATGAGATGTTTTTATAACCTTTGTTTCAAGTTGTAGGAAATAAGATGTCTTGTGGGAGAAATGTAATCTTCCTGAAGCACTAGCCTTATATAATACCTAACCACTTTCTAAGGAGGTAATATAGGGTATACATAGTAAAGATAGAAAGTACAGAATGAAACCAGCCAGGGGTACATTTCCTAAGGCCATCATGCCTAATGGGTATTGGTTGCTAGTCTGTCCTTCAGTAGCATGTATAGATCAGACCTTGAAGATGTTCTATCTGGGAATGGTCCATGCTTCTCTCCCCCTGGCTAATCCCATCTGCCTTTGTTGGTAGAGAGTCTGCAGCAGAAGAGAGAAGGCAGATACGGATGTTTATAACCAAAAGGGCAAATAAGGACCTCTCAAGCTATTTTATGAAATTCATTAGGACAGCAAACCACCACCATTGCTTTCACATAGTTTTCTCCATTGCATGATAACTTTTCCAAACTAAGATTTGAGACATCAAAGGCTTTACCGCTACTTATGAAACGGTGATATTTCAGTGTGATATTATCTGGTGGTGATAAGACTTCTATTTTAGAAGACCCAGAACATAATACCCACAGATGATTACCAGGGAGGCAGAATTATGCCTCCAGGGAGGTGGCACTTTCTTCAATAACTCTTTCTTTAAAAACTTTGTTATAGAAATTTAAAACAAAAGTATAGTAGTATAATGAACTCACATGTACCCATCACCCAATTTCAACAAACAACTCAAGGCCCATTTTTCATTTCTGCTTTCTCACTGCGCCTCTCCACTATATTATACTAAAGCAAAAACCAGATAATCACTTAACTTTCTATCCATTCATATTTTAGTATGTATCTCCAAAATATAAATTATTTTTAATTTCATTTTATTTTGTTAATCCTCACCTGAGGATATTTTTCCATTGATTTTTAGAGAGTGGAAGGGAGAGGGGGAGAGAGAAACATCGATGTGAGAGACACATCGACTGGTTGCTTCCCAACACACCCTGATGGGCAACCGAGGTATGTGCCCCGAGGTATGTGCCCTTGACTGGAATCGAACCCGAGACCTCAGACCAATGCTCTAGGGCAAAATTAGCTAGGGCCAGATAGACTATTTTAAAAAATATAACCACAATAGCACTATACCTACCAAAAAACCCCAAAAAACAACCTGTTAATAATTCCTTATTCAATTTTCTTCAACTTTTTCATAAATGGTTTTTTACAGTTAGGGCCCATATCTTTGTAGATGGTTTATACATTTCAATTATTTTCTCATCTGTAGGATAATCCCTCCATTTGTGAGGATCTTAGAGCAGGATGTTATTTTCCCAGTTTTGTCTCTTAGGGTGTAGACCCTAATTTCCTGCTGATGGAAATAAAAGGAACTTTTGGAATATGAGAGCAAAATATTTATCTACCTTAGTAATTCCTTGGGGTCACCAGGAGCTTGATACGGAGAAAGGGCTTAAATATCCTCAAGACCAGCGCCATAAAAGTTAACTTAAAAGGCAAGCCTAGACTTTTCATTGAACAGAGCTCCTTAACAAACCTCGTTTCCACGCCCTTTTCCCCTCATTGCCTGGATCAGAATGATAGTCCCATAAATTTATAAAATGTTACTCGTTATCTCAGGAGAAATAAACATGGTTTTCCTAGTTCTAGCAGTACCTCTATGCAAAAGATGTATTCCATCAAGAATACTTTTTTTGGTGAAACGGGAATGTCAGCTGTGTCCACAAACTTAGTTACTTTGGTCAAAATCTCTCAGTTTAAAGCCTTTCACTACTATGTGACCTAATTTTTTTAAGCCTCAAACCAGGAAGCTAATCTGATAGTGGAATAGACTCTTTGAAACTTGAGACCATTATGGAAAATTGTGTACATATTGTTACCACACTTGAAACCCAGGTCATTCTCCACTGGGTACATTCTACCACCTTAACAGGAGACCAGAATGTGTCTAACGTGCAGGCCTAACTGTGAATTTTTCATACTCAGACAAGTTAGACTAGTCATGGCTCACCTGCAGGGCTGGTAGCTGAAAACCAGGAAGACTCTCTAGTGCGCTTCTATTCTCCCTCTGACCTGAAGGTTAGAACAGAATGGTGAAAGATAACTTCGTTGAGCAGTTCCTTGGTAGTGTTACTTGTGGATCAGGGTAGTTCTTAATCTGGGAACACTGCTCAGAAGGGAAAAGACTCTTTGCTAAGCAATTTAAAAGGTGGCTGAATCCCCACTATTTAGGGATGGTCCATTCTTTTTCTGTGAGGATGGAGTGGGGACAGAGAGGTTTGAGTTTATGAGTAGGAAGATGTAGAAACAATATAAAGATTTTGGTGAGCTACGGAAGATGACAGCCCCTTATCAAGAGGACTGGTAGCAGAGGTACCTTTTTGAAAATGATGGGTATAAGATACTGACTTTATCATTCTCATTCAGAACTGAGCTCCTAGCAATGTTCAAACAGGGATCTCAAAGGGGGGAGGGGGGGACAGTTTAATAAATAGCAGAACTTAACTGGTGACAGGATGCGTGCTATTTAGGCAAAATTCAAAGCCTCCCTTCCATGTGAAGGAAATTGGATAAATTAAAGAATATTAAAGCATTAAACTGGAGACAGTGCTCTTTTGTGGGAAGATCCTCAACTTCTTTTTGCCTTGAAAATTTTCATTTTACTGTTTATGTGCCAGTGGTTGAAGCTACAATCCTTTAGGGATATTATTTAACTTACCTGAATTGTTGGGGGTGAGTACTTGTATGTGGCCTGAATCCCCACTATTCAGGGATGGTCTGAAAGAAAAAATCCCCAGTCCAGAAGAGGCAGATGAAGTTCTATGGAGGAGAAATAAAAGCATCAGCAGAGAAAAAGAAAGCTAAAGGTAAAAAGGATATGTAAAGAAAGAACCTATACATTTAAGCCAGGGACCCTACTTGCAAGTGAGAATAAAATTAAGTAATTGAGCCCAGCCAGCATGGCTCAGTGGTTGAGCATTGACCCATGAACCAGGAATCGCAGTTCAATTCCTTGTCAGGGTGCATGCCCGGTTACAGGCTTGATCCCCTGTGTGGAGTGTGCAGGAGGCAGCCAATCAGTGATTCTCTCTCATCATTGATGTTTCACTCTCTCCCTTCCTCTCTGAAATCAATAAAAAGATATTTTAAATCTAAAAAAATTAAGTGTCCCAGTGAGCAGATCTCAAGTGAAGGGAAGCACAGTGTTACTCACCTGTATGATAGGCTGTGAGTGGAAGCTGGTGAAGGGGTTTCTAGAAAGCACAAAAATGAACCTGTGAGATAATCCATAGACTGGAGAAGAGATTCAGGTATACTCAGGGCCAGGGAAAAGGAACTAGGGATCAAAGATTTTCATATATATAAAAAACCAACTTTGGTTTTGTTGATTTTTTCTATTTTCTATTCCCTAGTTCATTAATTTCTGCTCTATCTTTGGTTCTTTGAAGTGATCAACAAAACATTAACATTTAGTATTTAGTCATACAGTCCAAGAAAAAAATAAGGAAGCCTCAAATAACTAAAATCAGAAATTAAAGAGGGAATATTACTATAAAAATTACCATTAATAAATTGGCTAGCCCAGCCAGTGTTGCTCAGTGGTTGAGCTTCAACCTAAGAACCAAGAAGTCACGATTTGATTCCTGGTCAGGGCACATGCCTGTGTTGTGGGCTCAACCCCCTGCCGATCAATGATTCTCTCATCATTGTTGTTTCTGTCTCTCCCTCTTCCTTCCTCTTTCTGAAGTCAATAAAAAATATATTTAAAAAAAGTAAATTTGCTAGGACACCTACATTCTTCAAAGAGATAAGTATGGAACAATTGAGGAGAGACTTTGGTGAAATTAAAAAATGGTTATTCTAAAGAGATTTGCAAATTTCAAATCGCCTTTTTGGAAAGAAAGGGAAATCTCTGATAAGTATTCTCTAATGCCCTTGAAAATAGTAATAACAGTAATTTTAAGGGGGAAGAGAAAAGTGGGTGGAACAAAAATATTTCTTCACAGGAAAATATTTATGTTTAATACACAGTGAAGCAGCCAGATATCCTGTAGGCTAACAAAATCAGCATCTAGTTACCCTCCTTTTAAGCCTAACTTCTACTGCCATCTTGTGGCAATTTTAAAAATCCAAGTCAATTATTTTATTCAAGTTATCCACTTGACTAGATGAGGTTTTCAATGACTTTCTATCACTCAAACCTCTTCTTTCCCCCTTATCAGTTTGAGAATAGAAATAGCATTATTTGAAAAGTAATACTTTATGTGTGGATATCTGGAATCACTGGAACAAACAAAATAAAATGGCATTATATTATACACAGAAAACCAGAAATCTGCTGGTGTATGCACAGAATATTTTGTTTTCTGACACCTTTTTTTTCTCCCCCTCACCAGTATAAGAGTCGCTGGGAGTGCTCCTTCCCTGAACGCCTCTGGCTCCCTGATGGACAAATAATAAACATCCATTAATAAACGTACCTTAATTTTCTGGCTTCCATATTCCTTGCCATTTCTCTATATCTACACATTGAAGCACATTTTGTTCTCCTGGATTGGATATCTAGTCCACACTATATTACTTCCAAAATGCATATGACTAACTTAATTTAGTGCTTGAACATTTCCACTATTTCACCCCTATTTGTTCTCTGCAGCAGCTTCCAACTTCAGGTCTGTGCTGCCAAAAGAAAAGTCTAGGATGTCCTCAGATAACTTATGCCAAAATCACATAAGTTTAATATTCTTTTTTTTTTTTTTTTTTAAAGTTTGTTCCTTTTTTTTTTTTTTTTTAAATATATTTTATTGATTTTTTACAGAGAGGAAGGGAGAGGGATAGAGAGTTAGAAACATCGATGAAAGAGGAACATCGACCAGCTGCCTCTTGCACACCCCCTACTGGGGATGTGCCCGCAACCCAGGTACATGCCCTTGACCGGAATCGAACCCGGGACCCTTCAGTCCGCAGGCCGACGCTCTATCCAGAGCCAAACCGGTTTCGGCAAGTTTAATATTCTTGCCTTAAATCTTTGCTTTCATTTAGCATTAGAAATCTCACACTAGCCTGGTTGGTGTGGCTCAATGATTGAGCACTGACCTATGAACCAGGTCACAATTCAATTCCTGGTCAGGGCACGTGCTCTGGTTGTGGGCTCAATACCCAGTATGGGGTGTGCAGGAGCAACTGATCAATGATTCTCTCTCATCATTGATGTTTCTCTCTTGCCCTCTCCTTTCCTCTCTAAAATCAATAAAAATTAAAAATAAATCTTCGTCTAGAAAGAGAAGGTAACTTTTACTTACTTGTCCCACGCTGCTACTAAAGCCAGCCACTCTATAAGGGATAGACTCCACTGAGGAGGACCGGCTGTATAAGGTGAGACAAAACAAAACAAACAAACCTGGCATTAAACTTTTGCAGAGACCTAAAGTCTCCTTAGTCTCTATCTCAGCCACATCTAAGTATTTCTTTCATCTTCCAACTTTTGCTAACAGTTTAATGTTGCTATGTAGGCTTCCTACTCACCTGACCACTTGACTGCTATGCTGACAACTGGGTCTTGGAGTAACTAAAAAGGAATAAAGTGCAGAATGAAAAGTTTCCATCAATAGTATGCTCTTGCCTAGCCAATCGGTTGCCAGTGGGTATCTGGTTGTATGATCTCATTTCATACATAAGGTTAAGGAAATCACATTGTAGTCTCTGAGAGGAAACCATCTTCCAAATGGGAAAAAGATATTTATTCATCTCACACAGATTTTTGGGCAAAAAAAAAAAAAAAAGTTCTCTACCTGACTGTGTTGGGGAAGTAATGCCCACCGGTCGAGGTGTGGTTGGCCTGCAAGGAAAAAACAGGAGGCAGCTCTAATATCTCTAAGTAGAAATTTCACATTAGAGGAGAAATCAAATCATTGTTTTTAGAAGTAATAGCTTTCTCTCTGAGGATAAATTGCTTATTATCATGTATTAACAGGTATCATCCAAAATATGGAGTCCAAGTTTCCATATGAGACCCCCTTGGCTGTCCAACTCCCTAAGTTCTTCCCTTTATTGCCCACAATATGATAAGTTTTGAAGTCCTCCTTTCCTTCTTTCTTTCCTCAGTGCCTTACCACGTACTTTTAACTTCACATATATCTAACCAACTGTCCATTCATTCATATATCCACCATCCCCCCTCACTCTCTCCATCCCCTCATCCATCTATCCAACAAGCATTTATTTAGTGCTTATATGTCCTAGATACTGAGATTACAAAGATACTAGAATATGATTCCTATCTCTGAGAGGCTAAAGGTTAGTGGGGGACATAATAATAATAATAAAGCAAGGTTTAAGTGTTATAATGGGCATATCAGAAGTACAGAAATATGAAAGAATACTAGGCTAACTTCTGTGAATACAGGAGCCATGTGTTTTTTAATCCACCAATACAGGACTAACATTAAAAATATTTAACAATTACCAATTAGAATGACTGGTGATGTATACCCAGCATTTAATAAATAGTGGTCACTTAATGAATATTTATTCCATAAATGAATAATAGAACACCTACTCTAGCTAATGAAGTTTTGACAGAAGAAATGACATGGGAGTTGAATTCTGAAGGATGAGTAGGATTTCATAAGATGATGGTTAAGGGGGAACATTACTTTCAAGATTTTACTTCAGCACTTTTCAGTGAGTAACTCTTTCTTGGAGAAGTGAAAGATAAGTTCATCAACCATTTCCTTCACCTCAGAGCCCACACAAGAGTTACAACCAAGAGTCAAGGAAGAACAGACATTTTCAAAGAGGGTAGAATGGGCCTGATAAAACCGACCTGCTTCCTTGGTACCAACTTGGCGATTCCTGTAAGTGAAAAAAAAAAAAAGAAAGTGAAGGAAACTGAAGCTCAAGGGTCTTAATCTGTAGATCTTACTTATTAGACACGTAAGCTGCAGTGTCTGCTAGCTGTGGTTGTTAAGACTTCCAATAGGAGAAAAAATAGCAGCAGTGTTTCCTTAGGAAACTTTTAGCTTTGGGGGAATAAAATTCTAACTCCTCATAAAAAGACATTGAGAATCCTGTAGACTAATATACATGGGGAAATAGGGGGGAAAAAGAAAAATGACAGCATTACAATGTGCTATAATAGTTACAGGAGCAGGATCAAGAGGAACATTATATATGTACAGAGTACATTCTTAGGAAGAAACAAATGTCTAGGAAATGCAGTTTGAGGCATAAGAAGGGTCCTGAGGTGTCTTGGGATTCTTGAAGAGAAATTTTAAGTTACAATAGATATCCTATATAAAAACCTAATATGCAAATCGACCGAACAGTGGACCGATCGAATGACCGGTCGCTATGATGCGCACTGACCACCAGGGGGCAGACGCTCAATGCAGGAGCTGCCCTGGTGGTCAGTGTGCTCCCACAGGGGGAGTGCCGCTCAGCCAGAAGCTGGGCTCATGGCTTGGGAATGCAGTGGTGGTGGCAGGAGCCTCTCCCGCCTCCAGGGCAGCGCTAAGGAGCAGTCATCTGAATGGTAAGGAGCAGTGAGCAGGCGGGTGGTAAGGAGCGAGGGCTCCCAGACTGCGAGAGGGTGCAGGCTGGGCTGAGGGGACCCCCCCCCCCAAGTGCATGAATTTTGTGCACTGGGCCTCTAATCTCTTTTATAAGCGAGCTTTCCAAATGGTATGTTGTAACTCACTGATGTTCAAGGATGGGCTATCAGTGTGCTAAATACTGACCCTTTCAGCCCTCCAAGGTCTTCTATGGCCTCATGTATCTACTACAGTGTGCTTGCACACACATTATCAGTTATATATGAAAAAGTTAGGAAACACTATTCTATTCAGTCTGCTAGATTGATGGGAAAAATAGGAGAGAAAATCATAGTAAGGAAAATCAATTTCACTCACCTTCAGGATGGCTAGAAATTTCTTTAGTTCTCCATTCTCTTTCCTTAAGACTGACAGCTCTCTAGGCAAAAGATGAAAACAATCAGCTCTAGTAGGTCAATGGGATAATTATTTTGATTATTATCTAGTTAATGCTTATGGAGAGATGTCTGCCACCATAGCCGGTATTCCTCTCAGAGATCTAGTAATTCGGGGAGGCAATGGCAGAGTTTTGATGATGAGAAGAATCAGATGGACAAAATAAAGTCACTTAGTATGATTTCAGGGGAGTTTACATAGAATTCCATTTCCTCTCCACATAAACCGCTGGCCTGTTGATACCTGAAATTTCCATCAAGGATTTCATCTTTTAGCTTAAGATTTCCAAAATATATCCTCCTAGAGGTAACATTTTAAATGCTGTCTCTTGTCTTTATCACTGTGAAAAAGCTATATCTGATTTCTCTGAAGAAGCAGTTTTTGATCGGGGGAGTAAGAAAGGAAAGCTATAAAGTAAGGAGGACCCCTCGAGGGAAGAAAAATGAAAATAAAATAGAGATTGAGGGGACTAAAAATTCTGTACCTGATTTTCCCAAGATAAACATAAACACATACGGAGCAATTTTCAGGCTTTGCAACCATAGGAATTAAGGGCTATAGCTTCTATGCAAGAAAAAAGCTCTCTGGTGATTTGATTTGTCACTTACTTGTTCTGGCTGGCCACTGTTTGCCGTGCCTCCTGCATGGCTGCTTCTAACTTTGTAATTCTATGCTTATAAAAGGCGATGAGGAGATCTGTTTGTTTTTTCTGGAAACTCCACACCTGTGAAGGAAAACGAGACCTATGACAAATACCCCCATAACTCCTTACTTCTGGCAACAAAGGAAAATACATCAATTCATACTTTATTTTTTTTTAAATATTTTTTTATTGATTTCAGAGAGGAAAGGAGAGGGAGAGACAGAAACATCAATTATGAGAGAGAATCATTGATTGGCCACTTCCTGCACTCCCCACACTGGGGATCGAGCCCACAACCTGGGCATATGGCCTGACAGGGAATTGAGCTGTGACCTAGTTCATAGGCCGATGTTCAACCACTGAGCCATGCCAGCCAGGCCTCAACTCACACTTTATTATTGATCATTTTCTTCTGAGCATCTGGCCTAGTTCATGACACCCCAGAACTAGAGGGTTCAGCATTAGGAAAAAACACACAAAACTGTTCGTTTCCAGGACAATGGCCTCCTAACATCTTAAAAAGAATATTCTGACATAGCAGGAGGGCCCTTTAAAAATATAATCTTTCATCTTGAGCAAGAAGAGTGAAACAAACAAACAAAATATTGGGCCCTAACCGGTTTGTCTCAGTGGATAGAGCATCGGCCTGCGGACTCAAGGGTCCCAGGTTCGATACTGGTCAAGGGCATGTACCTTGGTTGTGGGCACATCCCCAGTAGGGGGTGTGCAGGAGGCAGCTGATCGACATTTCTCTCTCATTGATGTTTCTAGCTCTCTATCCCTCTCCCTTCCTCTCTGTAAAAAATCAATAAAATATATTTTAAAAAATGTTGGAATTGGTTCTGATCTAACTTATCAGATTACTTCTACATTCCAGAGCACAAGTAACCAACTTACTTTCCCTAAGAAACTCATGCAGAGTCATATACAGGTTGCTTATGCTGCTATAGAAAAGGGCAAAGAGACACTGAAGAGGATTACTTACTCCTGAATTTTATTTCTAGGCATGGGAAAATAATTTTATCTTTTGCCACCGTTTGATAGAGTGATGTGCATATCATGGGGTTATTGAGTCAAATCAAAAGTTAATATTTAGAAAGGGTTTTTGCTTTGTCAAACTCTACTTTTGAATACACAGCAGTATTTATGTGTCATCTGCTTTCTCCCTACTCAAGACTAAACCTTTTGTCTAAGGTTTTTCCTAGATTATGGTATCTTTCTTTTTTTAAAAATCTTCACCCGAGAATATTTTTCCATTGATTTTCAGAGAGAGTGGAAGAGAGAGGGAAATACAGAGAGAAATATCAATGTGAGAGAACTATATTGATTGGTTGCCTCCTGCATGCACCCTGACCAGGGCCCAGCCAGGAAGGAACCTGCAACCAAGGTACGTGCCCTTGACCAGAATTGAACCTGGGACCCTTCAGTCTGCATGCAGATGCTCTATCCACTGAGCCAAACTGGCTAGGGCCTTTGATCTTAGTATCTTGTCATAAACTTTTGTTCTTACCTAATTTGCAAGTTGCTTTTACCTCTTTCCTTTCTACTCAAAGCAAATGAAACTAGTTCTAGATCAGTGGTTCTCAACCTTCTGGCTCTTTAACTACAGTTCCTCATGTTGTGATCCAACCATAAAATTATTTTCGTTGCTACTTCATAACTGTAATGTTGCTACTGTTATGAATCATAATGTAAATATCTGATATGCAGGATGGTCTTAGGCGACCCCTGTGAAAGGGTCGTTCAACCGCCAAAGGGGTCGCGACCCACAGGTTGAGAACCGCTGTTCTAGATAGATAAGAATTAACTGTAGTCTATTTTTTAAAGTTGATTTCATAGAAGTAAAACATGTTTGTTTTAGAAAATTTGAACAGCGCAGGAGTGAAAAAAAATTCACTCAGCATTCTGGGAGTTAACTAAAATCATGGTGGTGGTAGTGGAATGTTGGGGAACAATAGATTTTACAGATAGATGTAATCCATAGCTAAAAAACAGTATCCTAAACTCCTAACCTACTCTTTTTTATTCATTTAATTTATTTTTTTGTTAATCCTCACCTGAGGATATTTTTCCATTGGTTTTTAGAGAGTGGAAGGGAGGGGGAAAGACAGAAACATCGATGTGAGAGAGTCACATCAATTGGTTGCCTCCTGAAGAAGTATGTGCCCTTGACCAGAATTGTACCCGGGACCCTTCAGTCTGAGGGCCCAATCTCCATCCACTCAGCCAAACTCCTAACCTCCAAGTTTTCAGTTAGATTAAGTATCAGGCTAGGGCCAAGAAAATCCAAATCCTGCCCCGGACCAGTTCTCCCTTTGAGACTTCCAAGGGTCATACATGCACCGAAAACAGACCCCGCTGTGGAACTCCAGGGAGCCAGAATGGAGTACTAGAAGGCCTTTTGCCTAGGCCTAAGGAGGCCTACTTATCCCCCAAAAAACTCAAATCCAAAAATCTCAGATCTGACCATTCCAAGAAAAAGAAAGACCAATGCAGAAAAACAACCACCAGCAAGAAGTGTTAGAGGAGCCCGAGCAGGTTTGGCTCAGTGGATAGAGTGTCGGTCTGGGGACCGAAGGGTCTCAGGTTCAATTCCAGTCAAGGGTACATGCCCAGGTTTTGGGCTCAATCCCCAGTAGGGGGCGTGCAAGAGGCAGCCGATCAATGATTCTGGCTCATCATTGATGTTTCTCACTCTCCCTCTCCCTTCTTCTCTGAAATCACTAAAAATGTAGTAAAAAAAATATACAAGTCTTAGAGGAGAGGAACAAGTGGTTTTGCCTGATGCTAGAGTAAAAATGTTTAGCTTATTTCAAATATGTCCACCAGCCCCCACCTGATGGTTCAGTTGGTTGGAACGTCGTCCCACACACCAAAAGTTTACAGGTTTGATCCCATTTGGGGCTCCTATGGGAGGCAGTGGGTCAATGTTTCTCTCTCACATCGATGTTTCTCTTTCACATCTTCTCTAAGATCAATAAAAGCATATCCTCTAGTGAGGATTAAAAAAAAATACATCCACCAAAGAAGATTCTAAACCTAACTCAGTAATGAATCTCAGTATTTTTTAAAATTTTTAATTGTTAGCAAACTCATTATTATGCCTCATTCCAATCCTTCAGCCTCATAAAAAGGTTGGCTTCTTTATTTTCTAAAGGACAAATTTTGCTCACTTATAGTTGTTGTTTTTTAACTTGGGGATTGCCCTAATCGGTTAATCGGTTTGGCTTAGTGGATAGAGCATCAGCCTGAGGACAAAAGAGGGTCCAGGTTTGATTCCGGTCAAGGGCATGTACCTCCGTTGCAGGCTCCTCCCCAGCCTGGGCCCTAGTTGGGGCTCATGAAGGAGACAACCAATCTATGTGTTTCTCTCACATCAATGTTTCTCTCTTTCTTTCCCTCTCTCTTCTACTCTCCCTAAAAATCAATGGAAAAATATCCTCAGGTGAGGGTTAACAAAACAAAAACAAACAAACAAAAAACTTGGGGATTATTTTGTTAATATTTTAAAATAAAAAGAACAGATAATAATAAATGTAGTTCTGTTGAAGCCCTAACTGGCATTGCTCAGTGGTTAGAGTGGCGGCCTACAAACCCAAGGAGGGGTTCAGGAGGCAACCATTCTCTCTCACACCAATGTAGTCTCTCTCTCTGCTCCCTTCCTTCCCTCCCTCTCTCCCACTG